TTGTTTGGGTTTCTTCTCTGCTTTCAGGAAGGCCCAGTTAGGATATCCACATTGCTCTAGAGCCTGTCTTGTGTGGGATTTCTCCTTCTGCCTGGCTCCTGAGCTAGTGGGGACGCTGTCTGCTCTGTGATACAGAGTCCTGATGACTCCTAACTTGTGCTCCAAAGGGTGATGGGAGTCAAACTGCAAATACTGGTCTGTGTGGGTGGGTTTGCGGTACACCTCAGTTTGCAAATGTCCTCTATCAGAGACTGAGACCTCACAGTCCAAGAAAGCCAACCTGTCATTTTTTACATCTTCTCGTGTGAACTTGATGTATTTATCCACAGAGTTGATGTGGTCAGTAAAATGTTGGACTTCCTGAGATTTGATTTTAACCCAGGTGTCGTCAACATACCTGAACCAATGACTTGGTGGTGTCCCTGAAAAGGACGTCAAGGCTCTCTTTTCTACCTCCTCCATGTACAAAACGAAAGTTAGGTGTAAATAAAATGTATAAATTAATCGTAAATGCAGTTGTAATTATTTCTTGCTGTTGCTGTGTGACCCTAATATGGTTCTAAAAGGATCTTCTCAATGTGTTTACATGTTCACACACAATCATAGAGCAAGTTGATAAATGACCATTAGATGACAAATCAAAGCATTTATCTCCTCATTTTACAGACATTTCTAATATTTTCTGGTTGATCTTTTTTACATTCTGACCTGTGTGTGGGTGACATTCATTTATGAGGATCTTTCTACGCTTGTTAACTATCCCTACCTCAAAGAGCAGAGCAACGGTATAAGTGCAGTAAAAGCTTTCCTTACATGGCTGACCAGTTTTATTGCCATTACGAACACATCCAGCACCGTGATTCTGTCCAGGATTCAACTTTTGACATTAACAAGAATTTGCTGCTCCTATTTGTTCTCCTCCTGGCTAAGGTTTCCTAGATTATGCTTAAGTCTACTGTTTATCCATTTGTAGTAACACACAAAGCCTTCTTTTCCTTAAATGGTAGTTAACCGTTTTTTTTTTTTTTGTATAAAACAATTTACTCCACTGATTGTCACTGTGTATGCCTGTCCCCAGAATCCCACGTTTCCGCTTCACAATCATAAACAGTAACTATTATTTTGTGTTTCTGGGTCCAGCCTGCTGTGTAGATTAGTTTTGTAGAGCTGAGAAGTGTGTTGATTGGAACTGGTTGAAAGACTTGTCCTTAAAGTTTGAGTAATGGACACGTTTGAGGAATACTTCTGACTATACTTCAGATGGCCCGAGGTCAAATAAGAAACCATCTCTCACTGCAGCTATCCTCTGCTTCAACTTACTTTCACCACCTGTGGCTCTCTCACTATATTTCACCAACGCTTTTCTTCCTTACATCTAATTTTTACAGCAGACATTTTGTTTCTTGGCAACTTTGCGATTCCTACGCCAGCTGCTTATCTGCGA